TGGTTTCAGTGGGTAGGTTTGCAGAGTGATAGAGAAACTGTTAAAAGAGGAGTGAAGTAGAGCGTTAGTGGGTGGTGGGAGGTGTAATTAATGGGAAAATAATGGTGTATTAGTGTGTAATTATATTCATTTACACCATAAGTTTATTGGTACTATAATCCAAGATGAATAAGTATGCAATACTTGAGAGACTTTCGAAATGTATAAACAAAAATAATTAAAGTTTTATAAATATAAATATGAGCCAAAAATATGCTTAATTAATCGACCAATACGATTTTTTTTTATTTATACATCTTGTCCTTAACTTAATATCTTGCTTGGGTCAATGACGGGGCCACACGATTAGGCGCTACGTAATGAGGTTCCGCCAAAGTTTGGAAAATTGTAGAGTCGATATTTAATCTATTTTCAATTTTTTTATATATTTGGCAAAGCTTTTCCTGATTCTATTCTAAATTGGTCAAATATCATTCTTATCAATATATTTAATATGATACATAACTTTTATCTACTTTTTATTATTAGATTTTGTAGATTCATTATTTATAATTTACGAAAGACTTCACCAAATACACATAAGTTGAAAAGCAAAACCCAATTTCATAAATTTGAATATCCAAGATTTGTAATATATATCTCAACGCTTTATAGACTTATTGAGCAAAACTAAAATGAGATACTTGTGAACTAATATTACCATAGTTAAAAATTGAGGACCAAGATGGTATGTGCAATTTTTCTCCAAAATGTTTCAGGCGCCAGGATGGGTGGTATTTGGGGTGAACTAAGCTGACTGGCCAGCCGTTGAAAGAAAGAATCCAACAAAATTTTAATTCGTTATCTTCGTTTGTTACATGATGGTGCTTTTGCTTGGTATTTTGAGATAATTTGTTGACTGACTACGGCATTTCAGCTTGTTCCTTCACTATTTTATTTTGTTATTTACATTCCAATTCATATTTATTATAGTTAGTCATGGAAAGATTTTATAAAATAAAAGCTCTTGAGGTTGCGTAAAATGTTAAAGAGGAAATGCTAAATGGAGAAAATTTTGATGTTGCACAACTTCCCACCGATCCTAGATTAAGGATTCCAATCTTGAATTACAATTCTAACATTAGAGATCAAGTTCGAAGAACATATATGCAAAAGGATCATTGTCAATTGTTTAACCACGAATTTAAGAAAAGACAATTTGAAGAAAAAGAATCTAGACGATTCAATCCTTCTAGGTTAAACGAGTTTGATGGTTGGTTGGAGTATAGTGTGGCAAAAGA